GAGCTGTGTGTTACTCTGAGCTGTGTGTTACACTGAGCTGTGTGTTACACTGAGCTGTGTGTTACACTGAGCTGTGTGTTACTCTGAGCTGTGTGTTACTCTGAGCTGTGTGTTACTCTGAGCTGTGTGTTACACTGAGCTGTGTGTTACTCTGAGCTGTGTGTTACTCTGAGCTGTGTGTTACTCTGAGCTGTGTGTTACTCTGAGCTGTGTGTTACTCTGAGCTGTGTGTTACTCTGAGCTGTGTGTTACTCTGAGCTGTGTGTTACTCTGAGCTGTGTGTTACTCTGAGCTGTGTGTTACTCTGAGCTGTGTGTTACTCTGAGCTGTGTGTTACTCTGAGCTGTGTGTTACTCTGAGCTGTGTGTTACTCTGAGCTGTGTGTTACTCTGAGCTGTGTGTTACACTGAGCTGTGTGTTACACTGAGCTGTGTGTTACACTGAGCTGTGTGTTACTCTGAGCTGTGTGTTACACTGAGCTGTGTGTTACTCTGAGCTGTGTGTTACACTGAGCTGTGTGTTACTCTGAGCTGTGTGTTACTCTGAGCTGTGTGTTACACTGAGCTGTGTGTTACTCTGAGCTGTGTGTTACTCTGAGCTGTGTGTTACACTGAGCTGTGTGTTACACTGAGCTGTGTGTTACACTGAGCTGTGTGTTACTCTGAGCTGTGTGTTACACTGAGCTGTGTGTTACTCTGAGCTGTGTGTTACACTGAGCTGTGTGTTACTCTGAGCTGTGTGTTACTCTGAGCTGTGTGTACTCTGAGCTGTGTGTTACTCTGAGCTGTGTGTTACTCTGAGCTGTGTGTTACACTGAGCTGTGTGTTACTCTGAGCTGTGTGTTACTCTGAGCTGTGTGTTACTCTGAGCTGTGTGTTACACTGAGCTGTGTGTTACTCTGAGCTGTGTGTTACACTGAGCTGTGTGTTACTCTGAGCTGTTGTGTTACACTGAGCTGTGTGTTACTCTGAGCTGTGTGTTACACTGAGCTGTGTGTTACTCTGAGCTGTGTGTTACACTGAGCTGTGTGTTACTCTGAGCTGTGTGTTACTCTGAGCTGTGTGTTACACTGAGCTGTGTGTTACTCTGAGCTGTGTGTTACTCTGAGCTGTGTGTTACTCTGAGCTGTGTGTTACTCTGAGCTGTGTGTTACTCTGAGCTGTGTGTTACTCTGAGCTGGTGTGTTACTCTGAGCTGTGTGTTACACTGAGCTGTGTGTTACACTGAGCTGTGTGTTACTCTGAGCTGTGTGTTACACTGAGCTGTGTGTTACTCTGAGCTGTGTGTTACTCTGAGCTGTGTGTTACACTGAGCTGTGTGTTACTCTGAGCTGTGTGTTACACTGAGCTGTGTGTTACTCTGAGCTGTGTGTTACACTGAGCTGTGTGTTACTCTGAGCTGTGTGTTACACTGAGCTGTGTGTTACTCTGAGCTGTGTGTTACTCTGAGCTGTGTGTTACTCTGAGCTGTGTGTTACTCTGAGCTGTGTGTTACTCTGAGCTGTGTGTTACTCTGAGCTGTGTGTTACTCTGAGCTGTGTGTTACACTGAGCTGTGTGTTACTCTGAGCTGTGTGTTACACTGAGCTGTGTGTTACTCTGAGCTGTGTGTTACTCTGAGCTGTGTGTTACTCTGAGCTGTGTGTTACTCTGAGCTGTGTGTTACTCTGAGCTGGTGTTACTCTGAGCTGTGTGTTACTCTGAGCTGTGTGTTACTCTGAGCTGTGTGTTACTCTGAGCTGTGTGTTACTCTGAGCTGTGTGTTACTCTGAGCTGTGTGTTACTCTGAGCTGTGTGTTACTCTGAGCTGTGTGTTACTCTGAGCTGTGTGTTACTCTGAGCTGTGTGTTACTCTGAGCTGTGTGTTACACTGAGCTGTGTGTTACTCTGAGCTGTGTGTTACTCTGAGCTGTGTGTTACTCTGAGCTGTGTGTTACTCTGAGCTGTGTGTTACTCTGAGCTGTGTGTTACTCTGAGCTGTGTGTTACTCTGAGCTGTGTGTTACTCTGAGCTGTGTGTTACACTGAGCGGTGTGTTACTCTGAGCTGTGTGTTGACACTGAGCTGTGTGTTACTCTGAGCTGTGTGTTACTCTGAGCTGTGTGTTACTCTGAGCTGTGTGTTACACTGAGCTGTGTGTTACTCTGAGCTGTGTGTTACTCTGAGCTGTGTGTTACACTGAGCTGTGTGTTACACTGAGCTGTGTGTTACTCTGAGCTGTGGTGTTACTCTGAGCTGTGTGTTACACTGAGCTGTGTGTTACTCTGAGCTGTGTGTTACTCTGAGCTGTGTGTTACTCTGAGCTGTGTGTTACACTGAGCTGTGTGTTACTCTGAGCTGTGTGTTACACTGAGCTGTGTGTTACTCTGAGCTGTGTGTTACTCTGAGCTGTGTGTACTCTGAGCTGTGTGTTACTCTGAGCTGTGTGTTACACTGAGCTGTGTGTTACTCTGAGCTGTGTGTTACACTGAGCTGTGTGTTACACTGAGCTGTGTGTTACTCTGAGCTGTGTGTTACTCTGAGCTGTGTGTTACACTGAGCTGTGTGTTACTCTGAGCTGTGTGTTACACTGAGCTGTGTGTTACTCTGAGCTGTGTGTTACACTGAGCTGTGTGTTTACTCTGAGCTGTGTGTTACTCTGAGCTGTGTGTTACTCTGAGCTGTGTGTTACTCTGAGCTGTGTGTTCTCTGAGCTGTGTGTTACACTGAGCTGTGTGTTACTCTGAGCTGTGTGTTACTCTGAGCTGTGTGTTACTCTGAGCTGTGTGTTACTCTGAGCTGTGTGTTACTCTGAGCTGTGTGTTACACTGAGCTGTGTGTTACACTGAGCTGTGTGTTACTCTGAGCTGTGTGTTACTCTGAGCTGTGTGTTACTCTGAGCTGTGTGTTACTCTGAGCTGTGTGTTACACTGAGCTGTGTGTTACTCTGAGCTGTGTGTTACTCTGAGCTGTGTGTTACTCTGAGCTGTGTGTTACTCTGAGCTGTGTGTTACTCTGAGCTGTGTGTTACTCTGAGCTGTGTGTTACTCTGAGCTGTGTGTTACACTGAGCTGTGTGTTACTCTGAGCTGTGTGTTACTCTGAGCTGTGTGTTACTCTGAGCTGTGTGTTACTCTGAGCTGTGTGTTACACTGAGCTGTGTGTTACACTGAGCTGTGTGTTACTCTGAGCTGTGTGTTACTCTGAGCTGTGTGTTACACTGAGCTGTGTGTTACTCTGAGCTGTGTGTTACTCTGAGCTGTGTGTTACTCTGAGCTGTGTGTTACTCTGAGCTGTGTGTTACACTGAGCTGTGTGTTACACTGAGCTGTGTGTTACTCTGAGCTGTGTGTTACTCTGAGCTGTGTGAGCTGTGTGTTACACTGAGCTGTGTGTACTCTGAGCTGTGTGTTACACTGAGCTGTGTGTTACACTGAGCTGTGTGTTACTCTGAGCTGTGTGTTACTCTGAGCTGTGTGTTACACTGAGCTGTGTGTTACTCTGAGCTGTGTGTTACTCTGAGCTGTGTGTTACACTGAGCTGTGTGTTACTCTGAGCTGTGTGTTACACTGAGCTGTGTGTTACACTGAGCTGTGTGTTACTCTGAGCTGTGTGTTACTCTGAGCTGTGTGTTACACTGAGCTGTGTGTTACTCTGAGCTGTGTGTTACTCTGAGCTGTGTGTTACTCTGAGCTGTGTGTTACTCTGAGCTGTGTGTTACACTGAGCTGTGTGTTACTCTGAGCTGTGTGTTACTCTGAGCTGTGTGTTACACTGAGCTGTGTGTTACACTGAGCTGTGTGTTACTCTGAGCTGTGTGTTACACTGAGCTGTGTGTTACACTGAGCTGTGTGTTACTCTGAGCTGTGGTTACTCTGAGCTGTGTGTTACTCTGAGCTGTGTGTTACTCTGAGCTGTGTGTTACTCTGAGCTGTGTGTTACTCTGAGCTGTGTGTTACTCTGAGCTGTGTGTTACACTGAGCTGTGTGTTACACTGAGCTGTGTGTTACTCTGAGCTGTGTGTTACTCTGAGCTGTGTGTTACACTGAGCTGTGTGTTACTCTGAGCTGTGTGTTACTCTGAGCTGTGTGTTACACTGAGCTGTGTGTTACTCTGAGCTGTGTGTTACTCTGAGCTGTGTGTTACTCTGAGCTGTGTGTTACACTGAGCTGTGTGTTACACTGAGCTGTGTGTTACACTGAGCTGTGTGTTACTCTGAGCTGTGTGTTACTCTGAGCTGTGTGTTACTCTGAGCTGTGTGTTACTCTGAGCTGTGTGTTACTCTGAGCTGTGTGTTACACTGAGCTGTGTGTTACTCTGAGCTGGTGTTACACTGAGCTGTGTGTTACTCTGAGCTGTGTGTTACTCTGAGCTGTGTGTTACTCTGAGCTGTGTGTTACTCTGAGCTGTGTGTTACTCTGAGCTGTGTGTTACACTGAGCTGTGTGTTACACTGAGCTGTGTGTTACTCTGAGCTGTGTGTTACTCTGAGCTGTGTGTTACTCTGAGCTGTGTGTTACTCTGAGCTGTGTGTTACCTGAGCTGTGTGTTACACTGAGCTGTGTGTTACACTGAGCTGTGTGTCTACTCTGAGCTGTGTGTTACTCTGAGCTGTGTGTTACTCTGAGCTGTGTGTTACTCTGAGCTGTGTGTTACTCTGAGCTGTGTGTTACTCTGAGCTGTGTGTTACTCTGAGCTGTGTGTTACTCTGAGCTGTGTGTTACACTGAGCTGTGTGTTACACTGAGCTGTGTGTTACACTGAGCTGTGTGTACTCTGAAGCTGTGTGTTACTCTGAGCTGTGTGTTACTCTGAGCTGTGTGTTACTCTGAGCGTGTGTTACACTGAGCGTGTGTTACACTGAGCTGTGTGTTACACTGAGCTGTGTGTTACTCTGAGCTGTGTGTTACACTGAGCTGTGTGTTACTCTGAGCTGTGTGTTACTCTGAGCTGTGTGTTACTCTGAGCTGTGTGTTACACTGAGCTGTGTGTTACTCTGAGCTGTGTGTACACTGAGCTGTGTGTTACACTGAGCTGTGTGTTACACTGAGCTGTGTGTTACACTGAGCTGTGTGTTACACTGAGCTGTGTGTACACTGAGCTGGTTACTCTGAGCTGTGTGTTACTCTGAGCTGTGTGTTACACTGAGCTGTGTGTTACTCTGAGCTTGTGTTACTCTGAGCTGTGTGTTACTCTGAGCTGTGTGTTACTCTGAGCTGTGTGTTACACTGAGCTGTGTGTTACACTGAGCTGTGTGTTACACTGAGCTGTGTGTTACACTGAGCTGTGTGTTACACTGAGCTGTGTGTTACTCTGAGCTGTGTGTTACTCTGAGCTGTGTGTTACTCTGAGCTGTGTGTTACACTGAGCTGTGTGTTACTCTGAGCTGTGTGTTACACTGAGCTGTGTGTTACACTGAGCTGTGTGTTACACTGAGCTGTTCGTGTTACACTGAGCTGTGTGTTACACTGAGCTGTGTGTTACTCTGAGCTGTGTGTTACACTGAGCTGTGTGTTACTCTGAGCTGTGTGTTACACTGAGCTGTGTGTTACTCTGAGCTGTGTGTTACACTGAGCTGTGTGTTACACTGAGCTGTGTGTTACACTGAGCTGTGTGTTACACTGAGCTGGTGTTACACTGAGCTGTGTGTTACTCTGAGCTGTGTGTTACTCTGAGCTGTGTGTTACTCTGAGCTGTGTGTTACACTGAGCTGTGTGTTACTCTGAGCTGGTGTGTTACACTGAGCTGTGTGTTACACTGAGCTGTGTGTTACACTGAGCTGTGTGTTACACTGAGCTGTGTGTTACACTGAGCTGTGTGTTACACTGAGCTGTGTGTTACACTGAGCTGTGTGTTACACTGAGGCTGTGTGTTACTCTGAGCTGTGTGTTACACTGAGCTGTGTGTTAACTCTGAGCTGTGTGTTACTCTGAGCTGTGTGTTACTCTGAGCTGTGTGTTACACTGAGCTGTGTGTTACTCTGACTGTGTGTTACTCTGTGCTGTTGTTGTGTTTATTTTAGACATGTAAAGCACTCGGTCCACTTGTGTTGTTTTTAAATGTGCCCAACAAATAGATGTTGATTGATTGAAGTGCAAAATATAAATACAAACACATATCACATGATACTGTATGTTGTGTTATTGGACACATTTTTTTTCTTTTGAACAACCCATGTTGAAGAGTGTGTGTGTGTGTTTCTGTAGGTGTTGAGTATTTGGGAGGGCACCACGAATGTTTTGTCTCTGGATGTCCTGCGCTCGATGGCGAAGTCCTCCGGGTCGGTTCTCCAGGCGTTCTTCAGCGATGTCGAGGTGAGAACACACACACACACACACACAACACACACTCGCATGCTTTACGCTCCAGTCCCGAATCATCAATGCCAACATCGAGTGTAAAGTGAGCTTGTACTGCTAAATGTGTGGTGTGTGTGTGTGTGTGTGCAGGAGCGTCTGCTGGCGGCTGAAGCCTCTCCCGCTCTGCGTCCAGCGCTCGCGTCTCTCCGCGCGTCTCTCTCGGCTCTGATGCGTGTGTGTGTGTGGGTGTGTGTGTGTGTGTGTGTGTGTGTGCAGGAGCGTCTGCTGGCGGCTGAAGCCTCTCCCGCTCTGCGTCCAGCGCTCGCGTCTCTCCGCGCGTCTCTCTCGGCTCTGATGCGTGTGTGTGTGTGTGTGTGTGTGTGTGTGTGTGTGTGTGTGTGTGTGTGTGTGTGTGTGTGTGTGTGTGTGTGTGTGTGTGTGTGTGTGCAGGAGCGTCTGCTGGCGGCTGAAGCCTCTCCGCTCTGCGTCCAGCGCTCGCCTCTCTCCGCGCGTCTCTCTCCGGCTCTGATGCGTTTCTGTGAGGAGGCGGCGTCTCGACCCGCGGGAGCGATGGAGCTGTCAGCGAGAGACCTGGCCTACAGCCTCGCACGCGTCTACATGGGTAACACACACACACACACACACACACACACACACACACACACACACACACACGTGAACCTTACACACTGACACACACATGTACATGTAACACACACACACACACACACGTGAACGTTACAACACTGACACACATGTGTACATGTAACACACACACACACACACTGTGAACGTTACACACTGACACACATGTGTACATGTAACACACACACACACACGTGAACCTTACACACTGACACACACCTGTACATGTAACACACACACACACACCACACGTGAACGTTACACACTGACACACATGTGTACATGTAACACACACCACACACACACACACGTGAACGGTACACACTGACACACATGTGTACATGTAACACACACACACACACACACGTGTACATGTAACACACACACACACACACACACGTGAACGTTACACACTGACACACACATGTACATGTAACACACACACACACACACACACACACAACGTGAACGTTACACACTGACACACACGTGTACATGTAACACACACACACACACGTGAACGTACACACTGACACACATGTGTACATGTAACACACACACACACACACGTGTACATGTAACACACACACACACACACACACACACACACACACACACACACACGTGAACCTTACACACTGACACACACATGTACATGTAACACACACACACACACACACACACACACACACACACACACACACACGTGAACGTTACACACTGACACACATGTGTACATGTAACACACAACACACACACACACGTGTACATGTAACACACACACACACACACACACACACACACACACGTGAACCTTACACACTGACACACACATGTACATGTAACACACACACACACACACAACACGTGTAACACACACACACACACACACGTGTACATGTAACACACACACACACACACACACACACACACACACACACACACGTGAACCTTACACACTGACACACACATGTACATGTAACACACACACACATACACGTGTACATGTAACACACACACACACACACACACACACACAGTTGAACGTTACACACTGACACACACATGTACATGTAACACACACACACACACACACACGTGAACGTTACACACTCGACACACACGTGTACATGTAACACACACACACACACACACACGTGAACGTTACACACTGACAACACATGTGTACATGTAACACACACACACACACACACACGTGTACATGTAACACACACACACAACACACACACACACACACACGTGAACGTTACACACTGACACACATGTGTACATGTAACACACACACACACACACGTGTACATGTACACACACCACACACACACACACACACACACACACACGTGAACCTTACACACTGACACACACATGTACATGTAACACACACACACACACATACACGTGTACATGTAACACACACACACACACACACACGTGAACGTTACACACTGACACACACATGTACATGTAACACACACACACACACACACACACACACACACACACCACGCCTGTACATGCAACACAAACAATTGCAATCCTCAGTTGTAGATTCTCAGTTATAGATTCTCAGTTATAGATTCTCAGTTATAGATTCTCAGTTATAGATTCTCAGATATAGATTCTCAGTTATAGATTCTCAGTTATAGATTCTCAGATATAGATTCTCAGTTATAGATTCTCAGTTGTAGATTCTCAGTTATAGATTCTCAGATATAGATTCTCAGTTATAGATTCTCAGATATAGATTCTCAGTTATCAGATTCTCAGAGTATAGATTCAGTATAGATTCTCAGATATAGATTCTCAGTTATAGATTCTCAGATTATAGATTCTCAGTTATAGATTCTCAGTTATAGATTCTCAGATATAGATTCTCAGTTGTAGATTCTCAGATATAGATTCTCAGTTATAGATTCTCAGTTATAGATTCTCAGATATAGATTCTCAGATATAGATTCTCAGTTATAGATTCTCAGATATAGATTCTCAGTTGTAGATTCTCAGTTATAGATTCTCAGATATAGATTCTCAGTTATAGATTCTCAGTTATAGATTCTCAGATATAGATTCTCAGATATAGATTCTCAGTTATAGATTCTCAGTTATAGATTCTCAGATATAGATTCTCAGATATAGATTCTCAGTTATAGATTCTCAGATATAGATTCTCAGTTTATAGATTCTCAGTTATAGATTCTCAGATATAGATTCTAGATATAGATTCTCAGTTATAGATTGCTCAGATATAGATTCTCAGATATAGATTCTCAGATATAGATTCTCAGTTATAGATTCTCAGATATAGATTCTCAGTTATAGATTCTCAGTTATAGATTTCAGTTATAGATTCTCAGTTATAGATTCTCAGATATAGATCTCAGATATAGATTCTCAGTTATAGATTCTCAGATATAGATTCTCAGTTATAGATTCTCAGTTGTAGATTCTCAGTTATAGATTCTCAGATATAGATTCTCAGATATAGATTCTCAGATATAGATTCTCAGTTATAGATTCTCAGATATAGATTCTCAGATATAGATTCTCAGATATAGATTCTCAGTTATAGATTCTCAGATATAGATTCTCAGTTATAGATTCTCAGTTGTAGATTCTCAGTTATAGATTCTCAGATATAGATTCTCAGTTATAGATTCTCAGATATAGATTCTCAGATATAGATTCTCAGATATAGATTCTCAGATATAGATTCTCAGATATAGATTCTCAGTTATAGATTCTCAGTTATAGATTCTCAGTTATAGATTCTCAGTTGTAGATTCTCAGATATAGATCCTCAGATATAGATTCACAGTTTATAGATTCTCAGCATATAGATTCTCAGATATAGATTCTCAGATATAGATTCCTCAGTTATATGATTCTCAGATATAGATTCTCAGTTATAGATAGTAGTCTCAGTATAGATTAGATATAGATTCTCAGATAGTAGATTCTCAGGATATATCTCAGTTATAGATTCCTCAGTTATAGATTTCTCAGTTATAGATTCTCACTTATAGATTCTCAGATATTAGATTCTCAGTGTAGATTCCTCAGATAT